TTCAACTCTTTCAACGCTTCCCACATCGCAGCAACGAGGTTCAAGATAATGATCAACCACATCACGAATGTAGTATTCTAGACTTATCTTTGGGTGGGTAGACGGCTAGTAGATGCGATAAAGAAACATAAACATGTGATGTATAGATATAAACTGTCCAGGCTTACGGGACAGAAAGAGGAGATCACTAGAACTCTCCGTCATGTGGCATAACGCGTAACGGAAAACAAGAAACAGAAGCCCTTACAAGCTCAATGCAAAGTCAACTTCTGGCACAATAAAACATAGCTAGCTTTGTGGGAGCTGTTCGAGTTTTGAGTTTTGAGTTTATTTTATTGCCCCTGTCCCCCTCTGGGCGTGGGACATAGTAGCTGTTATTTCACTTTTGGGCTCCTTGGCCCTCATTTGCTCAATTAACTTTGTTTTGTCGCCCAACAGTACATGGCGCATGCCAAACCAACCCATTCTTGGAGACTAATGTATGAACATGACATAATTGCGCATGTACATCCATGCGCCTGAAAGAAGCGGAAGGAATAAATCCCCGGTCCTTGATTTTGATTCGTGGATATTCAATAGTGGGGCTAGGGGCAGGGCAAAATTTCCACGTAGCACCTTTTCTTGCCTCCCCTACAAGAGGCAACACCGAGTTAAGCTCGTTAATTGGGTTTTGGCAATGTCAGGATATATCTTGCGTTTTCCTTGGTTCCGCTCAGTCAGCCACAACATTAATGACGCAAGCCTGCTAGTACCCTGCGTTATTGTAGTCTACTACTCGGTCGGACTTATCATTGGCTCCGAATGGTAGTGGTGCCCTTTCCAGGCTCGAAACAAATCAAAAGTACAGGAAGAAAATCGTTCTGAAATATCTCTTGACATTTAAGATAATCAATATTGTCGATACATCCAAGACACACTTCAGACAATGCCATTCGAACTATCGCAGCCTAAAACTCGAACAAGCCATGCGTGCGATAGCTGTCGCTCAATATGGGTGAAGTGCTCTGGCGATCCACGGTGTGAGAAATGCGACAGGGACAACGCAGTCTGTATTTACGGAGATAGGAAACGCGAAAAGAAGAAGAGCTTCACTGATGGCGCTTCCGAAGGAAACTAACGAGGCCACAGGGATCTCGCCGAAAGCCGAGCTCGTATTCATTTCTTAGAAAGAAACGTCCATGACCTCAAAGAGATGCTGCGGAAGATTGTGTCTACCACCGCCCTTCGTGGATAGTTAAAGTCCGAGGTGCAAGCTCTAAGGAGGTCAGGTCTCTGTCTATTTCGCTAAGTTGCTTGATCCAGTGACTAATTCGGCATTTATAGTCATTTGACTTGCAAAGAAATGTCGATCAGAGAGCATCACAGACCCCAATCGAAGAAGGTAAGCCTTCATCAAAGCATGCTGAGCACCCAAAGAAGAAAGACACGGATTCCAACCATTCAAGCATCCTCAGTGATTTAGGGCCAGCGGTCTGCAAGGGGAATGGCCACAAGGCAATCGTGGAGGTGCTAACAGCAAAAAGCCCATAGGTTTGTCCGCGAAAGACAAAATTGGGCGGACGCCGCTTACTTGGGCTTATCAAATGGGCCATTCAGACATCACACAGCTTCTAAGCGAAAAATGCCAAGAAAATGGAATAGCAATTCCTGAGGATCTCGATCCTGGGCGAGCACCTACACAGAAGCATAAAAAGCAGTATAATCTGTGATATCTGCCTGTTAAAAATCCCGCTTACTGATATTCATTATCATTGCCTAACGTGCGATCATGGAGACTTCGACGTTTGTAGATATTGTGTGCTCTACGGAGCATTTTGTTGGGACAGCTCCCATCAGTTGATAAAACGCACATTTGAGGACGGTGCCCTCGTGGAATTAAGTGTTCGAGTTGGGAGAGAGTTCACTGCCGCTGTGAGCATTATGAGGCCAATGCGTTCTCATCACGGAGAGGAGGATTCCAAAGTTAAACCTGTTCCTGCTCAAACCAATATCGAGATCTGTCATGAATGGCCACTTTTGGCATTTTCCTTTCATCCAACACTTCTTGGATTGTTCTTTTCAACTTCCATCCCTGAAAGAACAGATTCAGTGGGTAAAGTTCAGTTGTGACAAGCGGTCTTCGAGCTAGCGTAAGCCAATACAACTGTTATGAGGCCTTCGTCTCCTTCTACCTCGATTACCACATCAAGCACCTTGATTGAGGACGTTACCAAGTTGAGGGTCGTCCCGATCACAATCAACATGGTGGGTCCGAACGTGGCGCTCTAAGTTGTCGGTGCGAGGATACTTGTGTTGCAGGTCTGGACAGAACGGGCAGAGATATCCGGGAGAATTATGGACCAGGCGATGTCTAAAGAAGGGCACCGTCAGCTCTGAAACCCACTCTGCGAGTGTAGGAAGTATCGTGTAGTCGAAGGCCGCTGCGAACAGTCACAGGGGTGTGGTCAAGCTATTTGTGGCATGCAACGACATCGAGGTGGATTGGCAAACAGCAGCGTTAACCTAGACTTCTGAGGACACTGTATCGGGTCGGATTCCATTATCAACAGCCGCATCCCGCGGGCACTAGGAGGTGACCATTTGTCCTCCATATATCGCTCTTGTTGTTGCTCCCTCTTGTTTGCACATCTCATTTCTAGCAGTCACCCCGAAGCATAGTATGAAAACGAAAAGTTGGTTTGCACGTTTCTTGGATATCGCTTGGCCGAGATGCTCTGTTGCGGTGAAAAGTAGGCAAGTTGTTCGTGTTTGTCGTCAAGGTATCGCTAATTGGTATGGTCCGATGACACACGAAGCAAGTGTTGATTTTCCTGCCCGACTGCGTATTATTAAAGTGCTTAATCAGATATCATAGATAGAGATGTTTGAGTAGCTACCCATGCCGCGTCCGAAACTTCACAACACGACCGTTCAAGACTTGATGGCAACAACACACAGGGTTGAAAACGAAAGTGAGGACGTCATTATATAGCAATTGGCTCCAAGTATTATTCCTGCTATGAGTATGCTCCAAACTGCACACCACCAAGTAACTTAACAAGGGCAGCCACATTTGTGACATTGTGTGCCTGGAATCACCCAAACTTCTTCGCCGTTCTTCTTGCACCGAGAGCATCGCACACCGCTCATCTGGAAAAATTCAGCTCGGTCCATATCTCTAGGTCGTCGAACACTTACGGGGAGAAGGCGAACGTTCCACAGTCTAGATGCTGTGGGGACTTTGGTTTCGGAGAAGCCTGATATCCCAAATGTGAGTTCGATTCGTGGTTTGGAAGCGCCATCAGGGCTGTGTTCGCGTACTTGAGGAGTGTGGCGAGTTGCGAATTAGTAGTACACACGGAGAGAGCGACCAGGTTGAGGTCATATAGCCTCGTGAGAGCAATTGTCGCTTAGGTGCTAGTCTGGAGACCTCCTTACTTTAGGAAAGTCTCTGCTGTACTTTGGCACGGCGTGTCCACTCCCGAAGGGTGACTGGTTGTCTCATCATTTTGTCATCTTACGACAAGCTTGATGCCGTATTCAACCCGAAGTGGAATGTGACAAACTGAGATAGCATATACGAGATGGTGCAGGTGCACCACGCATCGCGCAGCCTGCAATGCGATCGCCGATGCAATTTTTCTACCGAGATTGTCACCTGACCATTAATTTTGGGTTAGCCACCTTTTCAGCGCACCTCTCTCCTCACATTCCTTGTCCGCGGAGACATTTACTTGATGGCTGCATTATGTCGATTCAGTTGATTTGCTGACTTCGTGTTGAAGCTGTAAATGGCAGGTTGGTGCTGTCGAATAGAGTGTTTCCTTTCTACACCCTACCACCCTTTTCCCTGTTCTCGATGCAACCCCTATGCCCGTCCAGGTTAAATCTTTAAACCATCCTTTCTATTCTCGTCGAATATCATTTCGTAGTTGAACATCCCGCATGACCAAGGCACACACTCACTAGTGATTGGCATTGCAGGACTTCTGTCTAAGACTAACTTCTCTCGATCCTGCGAATTGCTATGGTATATAGTGCTTTGCATCCTCAACATAAGTCTCGCATTGTGACGCTTCCTTGACTTGGGTCCTGATACGGATACTTGGTCTTGCGGAACCCTGAGGTTCCGACCTTGTCTAAGGTATAAAAACTCCCACAACTACTCTCCTTTCGTCCTTCCCCTGTCCAGCCTCGGCTTTTCAACTTCTTTTTAGAAACATGGACTTCTCCCTGGGAGACTTCTGCTTGGTTTGCGACCGCCAGACCGGTGGCTCTGCATTCTGCTCTTCAATATGTCGTGTCAAGCAACTCGACTATTCTACTCCAGCTAAGTCGACAACATCTACGGCATCCTGTGATGACAAGAAAACAGATGCAGTATCGCATCCCCTATCGTTGTCGGACTCGATGTTGGGCTTTTGCCTTCCACCAGCATACGACTTCTCGATACATCGCACCTCTCCGTCTAAACCCATTAGCCTACCCATGACCTCTCCGTCAACCAACTCGAAGCTTTCAAAACAGGTGCAAAATGATCTCAAGAACTACTTCGTCGCCTTTGATCAGACCAGGATACTTCGCCGACGATTGTCGACACCAGAGTAGGCACTGCAATGTGCGCAATTGCAAAGGGCTTTCTAAGTCAACCATAATGAGGTGGACATAACTTACTTTGTGAGAAGGAAATTCAACCTCGTATCCATGGCTCCAGCATTGTCGAATTCGAGGGATGGCCTTGGAAAATAACTAGAGACAACTGGCAGGATGAGACTCTATCATCAATCATTGGGTGGAAATTCGTGTTCGACGGAAGACAACCATACGAGGCTAATAACTCTTATTAGTATCAGCCGACTGGCTTTCGGATTGTTCAAATCAAGATTTGCCGAGGATCAAATGTGGGTGGTTAGCTTGTGCGGACGACAGCATGATATATCCATCCGTAACTAGGTTGTAAAACGCCTCAACTTAGTTGGCACACAAACGTCACAGCGAGAGGAAATTTAACTCCGCGCGAATCACCGCGATTTCCTCATTTCCAGGGTACAGTTACTGGGGGCTGTTATTGATATTTCTGTTACGTTAACGTAACAATACAGACTTCTGCCAAAGGAAAAAAGGTCGGGAAGGATCATATTAGCACATTGAGGTCGATGTATTTTCATGAGCTTGTTGTGCGCCGCTGCTCTCTCCAGTTCAACGACTCTAACTTGTTTGTCACTGCCCAAGCCGAAGCTCTGGAGAGAGGTGGTGCAGTAACGATCGTTACCTGCGGCGAAGGTGCCACCAAGATTTCTTGTCGAAGTTGAGTCAATTTGGGTCTTGTTCCTCCCTTTCAAATAAGCACATAGTTGTTCTAAGATGCTAAACTCCATGACCAACTTGATACTGTAGAGCGCACCCTTATAGGTCGTCTGGATCTGGTATTGATCCGCATATTCGGTTCCGAGTAATGTTATGTCCATGATGATAATCATGGTGTTAACAGCAATGAGGTGGATCATGATCCTGCGCGCCCTCCCACTCCAGTCGTCGACTACGGGTCTGAGCATGTCCCACGACTTATAGATGTATAGGCCAGAGATAATGCACTCCTGTAGCGCAAATTCCGTCACCTGAACCTTCTCGTATATCCTAAACGGCTTCAGGAAAAGCTCGGGATGCGAAGAATTGGCACCAAAAAAGACGACGGTCATGCCAATGTGCAATAGGAAGAAGTCGACTATGATCATGATGAGGACCCATCGAAACGTTTTGATATCTGGTTCGACAAGATGCAGTCGGGAGTACAGCACCATTGATTGGCCTGTGACCATGCAATACCATCCGCCGATAATAAAGACAAGAGCCATCATTTTCGGCCCTCCAAGTGTAAAGAACTTGAGGAGAAATCCAGTAGCATGTATAGGGATACCCCATGAGGCGACGATCAGAGACCAGAAGTAGAGACCTCGACGGTGTTTGAAAGTTAGGAAGATCTTGATATTGATGTAGACGAAATTGTAGAATGATATGGCAAAAAAGCCAGCATAACCATTGCAGCTGCGGAAGACACCGATATAGTGCCAGTTTCGCCAGCCATTTTTGCTACCACTTTCTACAGTCTGTCAATTTGTTAGACAAACGCCAACACGTCCATTTGCTAGGCCGCCTCACCAGTCATTGGGAGACTCTCTGGAGCTGTCGTTTCAGCAGGCGCGGGTTAGGTATTAGAGGTTCGAAAAGGGAAATAGACTCTTGTTTCGAATCCCTGGGCGAAGCTGGTGAGAATTCAGGACGCAGCAGATCTATTGTTTCTTCCAGGATAGATATTTGCCGGCGTAGTTTATCGAAGCGCCGACGAAAAGGTCATGCACTTTTGGATTTGTTGAGGCATGAGGTTGTTATAACACGTGCAAACCCCAGGTTCAAGTTTCCAGCTCATTCCAATAGGTGCCACTTAACGAGGAGAAACTAGAGGGCTCCCAACTAACGACTGAAAGTAAGAAGGCTGTTTGACTATCGGGAGGGACTTCTACCGCAAGTGGGCGCCACATAGCCCTAGCTATTAGGTAACTTTCCATTAATTCACCTAACCACAAAACAAGGACTAAACTAAAACCTACCAAGGTGATGTACGGAAAGTTCCGAATAGGGTGAATTGGATTATAGCAGGGGTTAAAGATTACATTGGGCGGCTTGCATTTCTTGGAGCCTCAAAAGGGAAATTACGCGAGTTCTCGAAACTCGCCAATACATGTCTTTTCACATCTAAAAGGGTGTAGATGACCCATAGTGTCGGGCGTTCTGTCAGTCAGCGCGGTTGCCCAATGTAGACCTTCCCCGTGCCTGCACTAAAAACCTCATAATTGAATGGCGTTGAGTAACTTCGTATATCCCCGTATTAGGCGGGCGTTGACACGCTACAATCGGATTTTGAACATGATAACCGCCCCAAGAAGGCATACGCCGGTCCTGGGCAGCTCGTGTTCTGGGGGATCGAACTCCCCCTATAGCATTGTTACTCCGCTTCTCCCGACCAAGTTACGGTCCACTCTCATTCCCTTGGCACATATTGACCCTTCGTTTTCTGGCTGCGCATGATCTCAACTTCAGTAGTCAGAACTACGGTAACCTCCTTCGCAGGTAGCATGTTCTCAGTACTATTAGCATGTTCTCAGTACTGTTACCATCATCATCAATGAGTGTATTAGGATCTGGGAATGCACGGGCCACAAAGTGGTATGCTTGTCTTATGGCCCGTGCACGCTGACGCACCACTTTGCCACTTTGCCACCAGTTTGATGCACCACCCGCGAAAGTCGGTGTTTGGTCAGCATGAACAGAGTAGAACATCCACAGATTGAGCAGGCTCTGATATCTAAGTATTCTCGCAGCGACCGGCCCTTCATTTTCCGGAGGAGATGGTGTGAGTAGCGCAACGTTTCTATCTGAGGTGGCACCAGCAGGGGCACAAAACAAGATTTCCACGGACAAAACATGGAATATGGTTTTTTATACGGAAGGATAGGATATCCATCCGTAAAGCATATCATGACTTACATGGTGACAGGGGGTGCAGGACCTTCTAAATAAATAGTGGGCTGCAAAATGGGCATTAGTCCGCGGAAATTAAACTCCGCACTACCCAAACGCACCAACAGCCATCCTCATACTTTACTTGCTGGCCAACAGCCTTCACCTGATGTTTGAGCTATCAGAGTTCAGTTAGCTCCCATTCTGAATCTTACATTTTAAGCTTTCCGACCCATTAGTGGCACGTTTTCTTTGTGCTGGGCCGCTGAAGAGAGCGCTGGGAGGTGACATTGGTGTTGAAACCAAGGGTACCGGCCTTACTATGCACCGTCGCACTTAATACATGTCATGGGTGAAGCATGTTTCTCTTTCAGGATCCTTTGTTTCTTTTTCACGGTCTTTTGCACCAGAAGACTCTGCACTTCTTACGATGTTATCCCCGACATCGCTCACGAAGATCGTTCTGCGGGCAGGGAATGGCACTGACTATCCGGCAAGAGGGCGTGAAGTCACTGTGGAACACACAGGTTGGCTCTACGATGCAAATAGCATGGATCCCTACCACAGGGGTAAAGAGTGAGCTTGCAGCATATAATGCTACTGGAGACATACGGAGCAAGGACTAACAAAAGCTAAGATTTGAAAGCACTGCTAAACGAGACGATTTCAAGACGGTCATCGGTGTTGGCAAAGTTATCTTAGGTTGGTTCTGTGGTTTATCGGTTCTTTCACCAGGTATAGCTCAAACCTAAAACACGTCAACAGGATGGGACGAGGCAATTCTCGGGATGTCATTAGGAGAACGAGCGGTATTGCAAATCCCTCAGTAAGTATGAGCTGGGCAATACATCTCGAACATTGGAGTAATCTTATGGAAAATAGGGACAAGGCATACGGTGAATGGTAAGTGTGGGCAGATGTCATTTTAGGCCATATTTGGCTGGTTATCCAGCCAATGTCTTCATGGAAAATGGCACCAACAAGTCTCCATTCTCCTGTTAGAGAGGGTTTTTCCATGCATTTGATTTTACTCCAGCATCTTGAACGGAGCAGCAAAACTAATATTCACTATGATCAGTGGCTTTCCGGGATTTATTCCTCCTAGTGCTGCCTTGGTTTTGTGAGTAACCTCCCCATTTTCCAGATGCCAGTTTTACGCATAGTTTTCGCTGGACTGACTGGGATTTATTAGTATTATTGAACTAAAGGCCATAAACGACACAAATCATTCACGAACTCTCAATTCTGCGGAAACCCGTAGCGAATATGCTAAGACCAACGTGGAACCCTTTTGATCCCGAACATCTATCGTTGATGGATCAGAAGATCAAACCTCTCCTGTAGTTAATCCTATCGCTGGCACCGACAGGGGATCAAAGTTACTCACCCATTTTATTTCGCAAGTAATCGGAAATTTTCAATCGTTACTCTGTTTAGAAATTGGGATAAATTATGCGTCCCACGGAGTACATACATCGACCGCAAAACTTGTCCCCTAATAAGCATATTAGTCGGTGGTCCGTACACAGAATGTTTTGTAACATGTGACCAAAATGTACGAGATTCTGTGCACGGACTGGTCTTCAACAGATCTAGACCCGTCCAGGGCCTGAAGAGATGGTCTCCTTCCACCAAGGGACTTATGATTATTAAAAACCAGCAATGTCAATGATGATATCGAATACCTATCGTCGTTCTTCTGCCAATCCACAAAAATACTCACAGCCACAACTAACGGGCTAAACATTTAAAGCTTCTCCATGTTACAAAATCATCCCCAAAAAGGAGACGATGTATTCTTCGAGTGGAGAGTTTGGTACAAAAACAATAGAATAAGCTGCATCAAGGAGTGGGAGCACGGAAGTGTCAGAAATTCATATGCTAGCTTTGACAGCGGCAAGGAACATGTTACCTTTGACGAAAGCATGAGTATGTGATTAGCAATTCAAGAATTCATTTCACTGACTTTCAGACAGGGTGGGCCAACCATCTTTCGACGATGTCAACTGGAGAGACAAGAAAATTCACGGCAAATTGTGAAGTCCTTGAGCTAGTGCTACTTTTCATTGCACGAAGAGAATAGTGCGAGTAATATGACGGATATGAGAACCTAAAACCTTGGGGATGCAGGTCTGGTAAACAATCAGATTGCGCCAGGTAAGCGGCTCCGAACTAGGACTTCAGTTTGTTATGGAATGCTACATCATCTGCGTCTTCGTCCGCCACGATTGGTGATCAGCCGTTAGCTGAAAGCGCACATCCAATGTTTGTTTGAGCTTTCGGAGGATTGTACTATCACCTGATTCAGGCTGAGATGAAGTTGAAGGCATGAGGGTTCGCGATCTTCAAGAATCAAGGTAACCAATCCATTAAATCGCAAAACAGAACCATGGCTCGGACGTGATATGATCTCGTAAGATCTGAAATACATAGTCGCAGAAATGGCTGCTAGTGCAAGGACGTCGGCCAGATGCATATACCGTAGCAGTCAGATCTTCGCCTATTGTGTTGACTATCAACCATTATGCTTGCTCTTGGTTAGCGTGTTCTCTCCCATTCCGGACTTGAGTAACGAGATCTTCATCATTACGTCCGAGTTTGCTCAACGCCTTGCTAACTTCGTCAATGCAATTAAAGGGTGAACCGATGGTAAAGAATCCACGACCCATAAGTCGGCGCTCGAGTGTGCAGTGTAGTGGAGAACTACGGCGCAAGATGTATGTTGGACTACCTAAAATTTGAATTAAAGAGACACCATTTACTCCTCGTATTGAATTTTCTATTCTAGCTCTAGGAGGGAAAATGGTTATTGGGCTTTTTCATCCGTGGGCCAGCACCATCTCCACAGAAGGCCAGTGCACAAGGACAACATGAGTGGCCGTCATGCAATCATCACTGCCAGCCAGAATCATTTGTGGACCGGTAAAGTGGTTCAGAACGATATGCTTGTTGTAGGGGAGCGGTAAATTTAATACGTACATAGCCCTAACAATTCCTGGCCAGACTTGGAGCGTGGGCTTTGGTGTGGCTTCTTGATAATATGGCTGCGTCGATGAGGGAGCATTGATAAAGTATAGAAATGATACGTAGATTGAAATCACTACCCACATCTATTTGGTCCACAAGCTATCATAACATTCAGCCCCCAACGGATCACCCGTTGGCTCCTGATTCCCTACCAATACTTGGGATATTGGTGGCTGGAATTTGCCTCCGTGCAAACTCACATTTAACGAGCAATCAGACGGACTGCCATTGCAAGGATGTAAAACTCTAGGAGAGACCTTAAATCCAGTAAGCGAGTCTTCAAGACTTTAGCCTTGGCATAAGCCACGAGCATCCGGTCGACTATTGCCTCTCTTTCGTAAATTACTATGGGAGGAAATATGCTTGCCCGTGAATCCTCGACCACGCATTCGCGGCTGCTGTCCAAGGCAGAAAAACGCAAAATATAGCTATTGCATAGGCGTTGGTACAGGCCTGGTGAAGGTTGCTCGAGAAGAGAAGAGAGAGGAGGGAAAACGGTCGGGAAAAATGCAAGGACGACGTTATTCTCCATCCTGTGGAGGACGCTCATGATGATCAGAATGCGACATCACGCCCGTTGCTACAAGCCAGGGCCTCGCCGCGCGTTGAGAAGCTGGCAGTCAAGCTGGAGGATAGTGGCGTTGAGTCCTTCAATGCCTTAAGAGAGCAGGCAACATTACCGATGACAGCGACATCGAAGAACAAGCAATCTTCAAAAATGAGGAGAGGAAACCGACAATAAAGCCAGGGGATGGTGGAGACGGGGACTTGGCGAGCTTAGAAGATCAATGATGCGTCAGTGACGAGGACGAAGTCCAGGCTGAAGTGACTTTTGACGAAAGGACCACCTGATCCTGGCCACATGTCTTCCTGGCCGTGGCTAGGAAAATATGAGTGGCTCAGGTGCAGATACGTCCTCCTTGCCCCATCCGAGGATAGGAAAGGAGGAAAGAATGTTAAGAACGAAAGAAATCCATACCTTGGCACAACACCACCCAATCGAACGGTGCCACCTACCACTTACTGCAAAATCATTCTTTCCCTGAACCACGATTTCATGTGTGAACAACCAAAATCTTGGCATCTTTCACACTAGCAATCTTCCCTTCATATTCTATCTTTGCTAGCAGATGGTGCACGCCAGCAAACATGGTTGGAGCGACGCCAAGCTCATTCTTGTGGACTTTCCCAACGAATTTTGCAAAGGACTTCAAAGTCGGCCATTCCGACATCATGTTCAGGGCTGACACTGTTCTTCCAGTAGTTGCCATTCTCAGACCGACGACTGTGAGGTTGTGAAGCGCAGGTAATCTGGAACGAAGTCTGACCATTCTCTCCGTCCTGCCGCTCTTTTGGGGAGGGTGCTCGCCGGAAGAGATGATTCCGAGGAGACTGGGGTGGTAGTTAACGACTCGACGGAAGTGTAGTGAAATTTCTGAGTAATATTTCCGCCCCTGATGAGCGACGCGGACTGCTGTGCGAGTGAAGGCCGTTGGAATTTCTTGGATGGGCTGACTGGAGTCAAGGGGATAGTGGTGACTGAGGCAGAGCACAAATGTTGACAAGGCGTTCAGTATAGTTCAACTGGCTCGGTGCAATCATGAGCAAGGTCTTTGCGACAACATCTTCGGTGTCGTTGAAAGATACGGAGTTCAAGATTGTCATGAATTCGTGAAATTTGCTCTTGAACGGTACTGTACCTGTAGCTACTTCACCAGCAACCCCCAATGTCCAAATCGAAGAAACTGGCACCCATCAGGGGCATCGCTCTGACCCTGACACGCACCCTCTGTTTGTCGTGCTGTTCCCTACTGAGGACGAGGTGACGTGGCCACAAGATCATGGGTAATTGGCCTGCAGGTTCTGAAACACAGGGCCGGTCGCATGAACGGTCCTGAACATGTTCATGTGGATGGGCATGGTGCGTGCTCTCTACCACGGGAGAGTGCGGAAGAGATTATTTTTCTGGAGATACGACAATACGATGGGCTCACAGATGGTCATCGCGGTGAGCTTCAACTAAGGCTGGCAGGGTCAAAAGGCTCTCCAGACGATTTTCACTTTTGTACCTTCAACGGCGGTTGGCGCCAAGACGACTGGCGCGTGCTAAGTGGTAACATGGAACGCACTAACCAAATCTGGAAATAGACCCCCTGTGATCAGCCCAGAATGCCTCCTGCTCAGGTAAAGTAAGCGCCATTGCTTCAGCGTTTGGAATGCTTTGAATCATGGAAACGGGCTCCTGGAGATCATATGCCTAGTAAATTTGTATGTAAACCAGAACAGTAACCATAGAGTGGAAAGGGGCAGAGATCTCATTCATCATCCCTCCTTAAGTCGCTTAAGTTGCCAAGTATAGACCTGACCAAAGGCAAATGGCTGGTCAAGAACTTACGGGCAAGCATGTTTCCTCTAATAGCAGTTCGGGGAAGCCATGTTAACCTCAGTCGACACCAACGCTTTCCCGTCTCCGCGGAATTCTTAGTGCCTTCACCGACGCCTATTTCCATTGGGTCGATACGTAAAGACGTGGAGACGAGCGCAATAGAGAGCGGGCCGTCCATCCTTTTCGTAATCGGTCCATTGAGCGAGCGAATATCGTCTACATGACCGACTTAGGCCTTGCGATCTACCGCTATCCCGATTGGTGGGGCTCGAGTAGTACTCCTACTCGCGTTGACATACGGGCACGTCCTCCTCAGTTATTAGGCACGTGTAGGTATGCGGGCATCAACGGGCATTTGGGGGTCGGTAGGCGACGCGTCCGCTGTGTGCGAGCGTGCAAGAAGGTCGGCTGACTGTCCTACAGCACAATTCCGGCGCGACGACATGGAGGCACTCGGCTACATGCTAGTGTATTTCATGCGTGGAAAACTCCCTGGGCAAGGTCTCAAGGCGAAGCGGGATACCAAATACCTGCTGGTTTTGGAGAAGAAGCAGGCAACCAGTGCGAGCGAACTCTGTGCTGGTCTTCCTACCGAATTTGTTGATTACTTCACTTACGTGCACGAGTTACGCGATGAGGGGCGGCCAGACTATCAGCGCCTTCGGAAGATGTTCACCAAACTCTTCCGCCGGCAAGGGTTCGAGTATGACAACGTGTTTGACTGGACGATTCGAGAATTCCAGAGGCTAGGGCTTGACGCTGAAGAGCCACCTACATCGAATAGTGTGAATGGGAAGCGAGGAGTGGACACCACGAAGCCATGGGGTGTGAAGTCCAGGCTGCGACCGAGGCGACTCGTAAAAGGAAAAGATGACACTCTCTACCTGGGCCCACATGGAGAGGACCCTAGGCATAACAACGATGCTGTCACTTGAGCCACCTCTTCGGTGTGCATCGTGATGACCGGAGCCAGGGTCCGTGCTTTCTTGCCAAACTGGATGATGGCTGTTATCAGCCACCGAGAGCCAACCATTGCGGACCAGCCAACGCCCCACCGTTGCGAGTAGATATTGCTTCCGAGTCTCAGTAGGGATTTGAGTACGACGATGTCTTTCGCTGGACCATACAAGAATTTGAGAGGTTGGGCTTGAGTCCGAGGCTCAGTAGCCCTTGCAGGCAGACGTGACCGAAGAAGGAGGCGTCGAAGAGGAGCCGATGCGAAGAAACCATAGCGTGATAACGTCTTTGACTAGACGATTGGGATTACAGAGGCTGGAGCCTTGCGCCTAATGGCCTCTTACATCGAAAGGTGTAGACAATGTACCAGGCCTATCTATCGATTTTCAAGGTGGTCGCCATAACGGTCGCCGCACAGGCCACTACTATGACAAGCCTCTCAAAGTGACGCACTCAATGATTTTAAGGATGACGCGGCACAGAACGTACAAGCTTTCTCTAAATGGTGTGCTAGTTGCAACCAATGAACTGCCTCCAACACTTCCTGCCCCGGCGTAGGTACTGCTGCCTGCATGATGGTTGGCTTCCGATGGTCGATGACATTAGCTACGGTCATGATAGTGATGATTGGCATGTCTATTGGTCCATTAGATTTCCATGTTGATAATATCATCTCCTCTTTCGACGCATGGCCTTGGTCCGACATCCCCTCCTCCGTCACCTAAAAGGCTTCGTACCATCTTCTCCTCGTCGTTCGTTCACATCTTTTGATGTAAGCGATTCTTGGGCATCAAGCTCTAGCCCCTGGAATTCTCGAGTCGTCCAGTCAAAGATGTCGCCGTATTGGAACCCTTGTTGGCGATACAGCTTGTTGGACATCTTCCGGAGGTATTGAAAGTCCGGCCGATCTTAGTTGTCACAGGGTGCATCACGATGGGTCTTGACGCGAGGCATTTTCAGGGCATCATGGACAAGACTTTCTAGTTCGCGGAAAGGCTCTTCTCCAGCCGGCCAACTGACTTTCAAGGGCGGTCGCCAGAAAGGTCATCGCAAAGTCAGCAATTGCGAAACCTCTTGACCGGTAAGGCAATAATGGTTTGCATACCAGTGCCACCTTCGGTGCTGATACCAGCCAACGATTTACCTTTGAGCCTGCCTCTCTGGCGGGATCGCTGCCTGCGAAATGGTTGGCTCCCGATGATGGGTAACGGCCAACACCAGTACACGGACCTTACGATACACGCGGGAGGCGTGGTACAGTAATCATCGTTCGCATGTCTACTCTTTCGACGACTTGCCTTAGTCGCATCCTGGGCTCCAGAATCCGATGGGCTGGGTGACTTTCGCTCCTCACGTCTCGGGCGAATGGCCTACCTTGCAGATCTACAATATGTTTTGTCCACTCCAGATACGCACAGGCAGGGTGGCTGTTGAAGTCACCACGTAGAAACCATGTCTTAGTTTCCGACCAGTGGATGTCTGAATTGCATTGCGTCGTTATCGTTAGACAAGGACACCTCCCAGCCACCGATGTGCGAAGTAGTGGCAGTGCACTAGGAGCCGATTAACAGTTTGCGAACCTAAAATTGGTGCGAGTCTTTTTGTTTAAGGCATCAAATTTTCATTTCCTCCATGTTCAAGAGATTGATAAATCTCCTTCACTACCTGGACATCCACTTCTCTTGGTTTACAGTTCAACGCAGTCGTGTTCAATGATAATCTCCATACTATCATCAAGAATCACGATAATTTGATTATGTCTTCTTTAGCCAAAAAGACGGCTCGCATTGTCAGGGTATGTGAAGCGTGCCGAAGGCGCAAGACTCGTTGTGACGGCAAGCTCCCTTGTGAGAGTTGTCAGCGGGATCATCTAACAGTCCCTTGCGACTACACAAAGACCATCGCGAAACGAAGACCTTATAAGATGTGGGTTGCTGTCAGCCCTTTCACGCATTTGCTTACCTCGGGACAGGGCTAGCGAGACCATCGAGAAACATCATACGATTTTGAAAAGCTCTTTCTCAGCACTCACGTTGATAAAGTTCAAGAACTCTCAGACCTATCGCGAGAAGAGCTCCTACAACTGATCAATGGAGATGGCGCGTTTCATAGCACAGATGCTACAGCTCGCATGATTCGGCCATCGTCAGATCCAGTCACGAAAGCTAGCACGATCGGAGAATCTCACCTCTTGCTTAAGGCAGGCAGTGATGTTTACCGTCAAGAAGCTATAATGTCGACCGAGCCCACTGATATTGGGAATGTGGCTTTCCGTCCATCGCAGCATACACGTTATGCAGAATCTTCCACAGTCTCCAACCCACATTCATCACCACTAAATCCGAGATCGATAGCAACCTTTGACGCCTCATTACCTGCTTGTCCCACAGATGAACAGATGGCAAGTCGCAAGGATCAAGAAATTGAACGAATAGTGAAGATCTGTGATTACTTTCTGGCGAGGCCTGATAATTACTTTGACATGTCCTTTAACGAGGAGCTGATATGAACATGGAAGAAGCGCATGGAGTTAACAATTCTCAGCAATGCTGAGCTTGCAATATACTGAGCATCCTACGCGTATATGCGCTCATAAGAGTCACAGCTCAACACCGGGTCCTTCCTGATCGCAGTCGATACCAGCCTTAGTTTGATTGAGGCAACGGCGTGAAGACTCACAAGACATCTGCGTCAAGCACGCTCCACTGGTCGTTCAAGATAGTGATTTGCCCTGAGAAATGGTGGATATTCGTACTCAGGGCACTGTAGAGGTTTACGCCGATGTTTTCGGTCTGTTTAGGTTTGGAAGATTTATTGCCGGTCTTTCGGAAGAGTCTGCGAGCGCCACCGCCATCGTGGCACCTCGGGAAGTAGATTGGGAGATATCGTCGTCAAGGAACACAGTGGCCAATACGGTGGTCTTGTACACATACATTTGGCAAGACACACCAGGGGAACCCTGGATCGACTTTCGAGCACACACGATGGTTGAACAAGCCTCCAAGAAACTAGTCTATCCAAAGGGGCCGGTCTCGAAGGAGAGGAAGTGCGCATTTTGGTGCAAGTTGCCGGTGACAGTGCCTGAGTGCCTGTACTTCTCCGTAATTTGTCGACCTCATCTCACGGAGTCTTGGCATCTGCGGTCGCCTTTTGGCGAAGGTAGAAAATCTAAAATGGGAGGGGATAGATACCCAAAGACCCTGACAACTGTTGAAGAGACCACAGGTTTCTGTGGTCAACGCCCTGGATTTCGATCGGCTTCTGCTACCTTCTATCACGTTTGCTGCTGCGCTTCTCGAATTCTGTGGTCAGCATAACACCACATTGCAGCACGCCCGTCCAATATACCACAAGTAGTGGCCTTTGTTGCTGAAAGGAACCATAGAGGGTAGTCGACCCAGTTGGACAACAGATCCGCACCTTCTCGTGGTGTTTGGTGTGCATAGAGCACTTCTTTCGACAGCAAGACGAAGGCAACTAAAATTCGGTGGATACGGTACTGCTTCCATCGCTGTGAAGTCCCAACCAGAAAGTACAGGTATGGTAGCCCTCCCCCCAAACAAGTGTCATCTACACTGCTCTGCGCTGCGTGTTAGGTTTCGATCACATGAGTGGCTGTACAATATCTATTCCGGAAGCTTCTGACTTATATTCAGGGCGAATGAGTCAATCAACACACCAAGATCATATCTGAAACATAGTGCGAAACAGCAAACCCGCGGCAATCAATAGCAAAACCCAAAGTGGACGGCTGCAGATACGAGCACACCAATGGACGGATATTGACGACACGTGTCGCGGATCTTTCCAACCATGGAAAATCAGAAGAAAACGTCTAAAACGTGATCTGAAACATCATTCATGCGGCCCCAACGGTGACCGCCGCTGCGATGCTACGAGGAGTGGGGGAAGCTGAGAGGACTCTTCCCAGCATGAAGTGCCTCGACGGAATCCGTGCTTATCGAGGCGCATTGGTGAGTATGATGAATTCCCAGGGTCAAACGACTCCCACGTTGATATCAACACCCCTTCTTCCCCTTCTGCATCCTAAACTACGCGGCGCGGGCCGGAATGCCTCCTTTGTCGATCGATCACGGCAGCAATGATTCAGCATCTGGAATACTTTGAAATCATGGAAAAGGGGCTTCTGGAGGTCATTTGACTAGCAATTTTGTATGTGTATAAACCAGAACCGTAGCCATAAAGTAGAAGGAGACAGCCAAATCCTCACTGACTCGCCTAAGTTGCCTTGTATAGATTTGTCCGTACGACTGTGCGACCCAAACATGTCCGACATATGGCGTGGCTGTACCCACACTGACATTCTCTCATTGAGTAGTTCTGGTGCATTAACCGGACACGCGGCGGTCCCAGAGGAAACGATGGTAGAGGTCATGACGAGCAGGGGCAAAATCCACGAAAACCAGTTGCAGGGCGCCATGACAGACGGTCGGTGGGCAAGAGTACTGGATGTAATGACACTGGGATATGCAGAACATCGCCCGTTCTCTTGTCTCAGTCAGAACCATATTATAGTTTCCATTACTGTTTGTACTGGACTGCACTCTATCCTGTATTTATGTGCAGCCTATTGCTTTAATCTTGGCCATTCCTACTCCTGAAAATCCCTTCAATTCCTCCGAAACTGATCAGATAGAAGTCATGCAGCATGGAGACGGGGTGAAACCACCAAAGGATGCGTCTCAGGAGCGGAAAATTCCCAAATTCCTTCGGACAAATGCCAAGACTTTGCCCCCTAAATTGCCGCTGAAAGTTCACTCGAGTAGGGTTGGCGAGTCACTTAACACAATCCCACAGTCGAATTCATCAGTGTGGACCAAATATCTGCAAAAGGACGAGATTGAGTTGAACGGGCTGGTGAGCGTTGCCCAAGAAAATCGCCGTTTAGATACCTGTGTTCTAGTTCGACAAATGAGCAATGAAAGTCTCTACCATAAATTGAGGATCCTGGCTCAGTTCCGCAGACAGCGCTATTTCCCCAAAACAATTGAGATCTTCTTCTCAGGTTCCATGGTGGATGTTGTGTGTGAGTATGTGGATCTAAATCTCCTACACATCTCTGAGAGCTTGAGAATTCCCACGGAGAAGGAGCTCGCTGCGATCGGAGGACAGGAAAGTCGCCTATACATGCCAATGCCCTTCCACGTACTGACAAAACGCAGTTGATGCAAGCGCTCAGTTTTCTCGAAGCTCACCACTTGGCACATGGAAATTTAAACCTGGTGAACATTTGGGTCAGCCGAGCGGGAAAGTTTATGATCGGTGTGTTTCTTTCTTCAGGCATTTTCCCCAACAACTCAAATTTAGTATAGCCGAGCCTGAACTTTGCCGAAGGAGTGGTGACGACGCCAGAATCAACTGTCTTCGTGACGTGAAGGACGTCGGAAACATTCTTATGACGTTGGCGACAAAAAGCAATGACTCTGAACGAAGGTTGGGTATCGAACGCTATTCATCACACCTGGTGGACTTTCTCAGACGAACATCGAGAGAGTCAGTGAGGTGTCTCGAACATGTTTGTCTTTTGCCCCTCCCCATGTAACCTTTCAGAAAAAATCGACTGAGGCATCGCAGCACCCCTTTCTGAACTGCCAATGGCGGCAGAGCGAATTGATATCACTTGTGTCGCTGGCTGGGAAGCCATCAAACCTTCGTGCCGATGGATAAGAAGAGCACGATTCATACTCTCGCTGTCAACGGTGTCTGTTGAGAAAAATTATCCACAGAATCACGGAAGAGGACGAGTTTGCCAGCCAAAGATTTCCACATTGAGGAGCTTGCATGGCTTCAGAGCAAAGACGCCACCTGGTAGGTATGCGTTGCTGGGAATGTGTTCCCTATGGCCGAAGCAGCGGAATCAGTAATCCGTAGTGCGCTCTTGATTGGGCTGTGCAGACTTCTGTTAGAACAACCCAAGCCCCACCCCAGTCATGATTCCAGTCCGCACGGAAGTGATAACTGCTGTATAACTATAACGCCTTTTAAGGTGCCCGTCTTGGCAATCCATCGTGTTTGTTGTAATAATACCGCTTTCCGTACGTCGCTTCCTGGTTTCTGTGGAACTGTGCCCACCATTCTTCATGAATTTATTTTTAGTGGTATTATATTACAGTAATGAGCGGTAGTTTACCATCCCTTTCTACGGAAGTCTTGCTCCGTCCTTCGCGGTGTGCGTCACTGTTCTTCGTGGAATTCTACAATGAATGTGAAGGTATTGTCTAGCGACATGTCTAATACAAATCCGAAACATTTTCGGAAAGCTATTCATGCGACCCCAATAAGCGACCGCCGCCCCGAAACCACGAGAAACTCTTAGGGTGGCCGCCTTTGCCGCTGAACCCCTAAGTAAAATCCTTCGGAAGGATCCAAGGCGGCGATTAGCATTCAGGGGTCAAGCAGGGCCCCCTTGGTGATGTTGCCATTTCTCCCTCCGCTACTACTGTATATCGTCCTCTAACCAGATGTCATCCCAAGTATAATATTGTAACCTCTCACTCCATCCTTTACCACCTGTCTCTCAATCCCGGTCTCAATCATGTCTTCCGATCTTGATCGCAACCTTCGAATACCTCCCAAAGACCAAAATCGTGACTCCAAGCTTCATCTGGAAACAATATGGAGCGATCTCAGGTCTCGAACACAAGAACGTACAAATTCCCCTGACGAGGCGGGAAAAGATGCCCAGCAGAGCTTAGCAATGGAGGACACATCAGCTGTCAGAAATTATGTCAAAGAGTATACTCCGTTCGCGAAGCTGCGACATGGTCAGAATCAACAAATCAACAGAATCAAGCACGAGTCCCCTTGGAAGGTTTACAAGAGCGGATACGATCTCAAGCTGGACCAGTTTGTTACGGTCGCAGTTCGCAAAGCCCCTGGGGCCGGCAAGGTTGCCATCAGGGAATTCGTCCGCCAAGATGGGGATCGAAGAATTGAGATGTTGTGGAGCGTCCATCACGAGAGATTTGTCAACCTGTTGGAGATTTTTGAGGTTGGTGAGACATATTACGCCGTTTTCGAGCACATTTTCGTCACCCTCGTCCAGGTGGTGAATTGCCCAGCCTATCCGACCGAACGACAACTCGCAGCCATTATTGGCCAGGTGAACTAAACTCCATGACCATCCTTATATCCGCCGCTAATGGAACTAGATTGTTGAAGGCCTCAGCTATCTATCCTCGAAAGGATTGCGGCATGGGTCGTTGAAATGCTCCAACGTACTCCTGAAGCCAAACGGCGAAATCAAACTAGGTCAGTCACAATCGACCTGCGTTTTTCAGATTGCTGAAAGCGTGATAGCTAACCAAGAGTGTTGCTACAATGCAAACGGAAGGGATCACTCAGATGTGAGGGCGCTAGGCGGCATTGCAATGCAGTTGATGCAGAAGTATGCAAAGGATGATGGTACTATTGGCATTGATAATCTGAATCGATGGTCAGAGAGTTCTGAGCCGGTAAAATTTTTGCTAATGACTAACACTACAATGTCTATTCAAGAGTTGATGCAGGTAAGCACCACCAAGGTTGGAAGACAACAGCTGACACGTCCAGCACGCATTCCTCAAGCTTCCATGGCGCAAAGAAGAGCTGGAATTGCTACATGAGTTGGCGTCGTTTTGCCGGCGGGCATATAAATATCATGAGTAAGGGAAGAAGGTGTGAGGAGCCGAGGATCATTCTGTCCCTCGATTATCTGCAGCCACAGGACTGCGTGGGAAATGCTATGGTACCACTGATATATTGGGAGATGACGCTCGAACTTCCATTGCGCCCTTGGATCTCCTCTAAAGTCACCTGTTTGCTTTTTTTATCTCCCGGGTGCATCCCCTTGCTCAGACTTGTTTCACATGGATATCAGTCAGGTATATGCGATCATCGTCTTCGGTATTGCGCTATGCTTTCTCCTCAGGAATATCCTTTCCACACAGCAATTTATGACTGATATCACTCTTCAAACATCGAAACGCCTAACTTATAGTTACATCCTCAACCGTCATGCACTGATAGGTCCCTGGAGCGTAGCCACTGCCATGATCCAGGTGGTGTACCTGACGGTGAATGTGTTTTGCCTTTGCTTTGAGGTCGACGACTTGTCCCATGCAGGTCGGCGCGCTGGGATGTTATCCTTGATCAATATAGGTCCGCTTTTGGGGGTTTTCCATCTCGATTTTCTCGCGACCTTACTGGGGCTTCCTTTGAAAACAGTCAAACGTGTACATCGTCTGGCTAGTGTCGCCGCTTTTGCACTTGCTGTGTTTCATGTCGTTATTTTGGCGGCGACGGAGAAATCAGCGTTCCAGACCAAGTCCTTCCATCCTTTTGTTATCATTGTGAGGTCTTCATCTTTTCACATGTTATTCACGCTAACTTCTTGAGGCGGGTTCGGCATTGGGCTGGCTGGCGGTTTTGTCGCGGCGTATTTTCCGGAAGCCCTCGTACGAAATCTTCCTTCGAACTCACCAAGCCCTGGCTCTTCTTTGTGCTTATTCGATATGGCAACATTTACCTGCGGAACAGATGTTCCCTCGCGTTTATCTGTACGGATTTGCGGGTGTGTTTGGCACGACATTTGCACTCGAAGGAATTATTGTTTTCATTCGAAGTGGATGCTTCCGTCACGGCCGCTCACGAGCTATCATCACTGGTTCATGCGGAATGGTTAAACTGAGATTGCATCTTTCTCGGCCCTTGAAGATTGGACCAGGTCAACACATCAATTTGTGGATGCCTTCAGTGAGCTTTTGGTCTTTTCTACAAAGTCACCCATTCGTAGTGACCTCCTGGGCAGCCACGCCACAAACCACCCTTGACATCTTCATACAACCGCGCCAGGGCTTTACGAGAAACCTCCTCCACCTCGCCCACCAGGGTACGCAGGCCCACAACAAGTGGGTTATGTTTAGTGGTCCACATGGCCAAATCATTCCGACTGGCAAGTATGAAAATGTCGTGATGATTGCAGACGGTGCCGGCATAGCTGCCCAACTACCACACTTGAAGAGGCTGATCCATGGCTATCACGCTCGCCAAGTTTTCACCCGCAGAATCCACTTGATTTGGCAGATAAGTGACATCAGTGCGGCCAATCAAATGCTTGGATTTGATCCATTCTAACCAACTCAGATGTTGGCATCGCAGCACAGCCATTTTTGAATGAGGCGCTAGATCAGGACAAGCTCGAGAGCGGTGGTGTATGTTGTTTCGCTGTTCGCTGGCAGTCACTGACCAGGAGCCAGATTCTCCAAATCTCGATCTATGTGAACCTCAATGATGTTTCAATGGTATCGTTTGGGAGACGGAGCACCGTTTATCCGGGATTGGCGGATTTCGAAAGTCTGATAGAGAAAGACCTAATGTTTAGTAGACAGCTCAGCGAGCTGGGGCCGGAACGGAAGGTCCTGGGCTCCTTGGCCACACGCCAAAGGCATTCGGTGAAGGATCATGAGATTGGATCCGCCGAGCACAGACCCCCGCACACGTTGAACGCAGGTCATGCTCGACAGAGTGCTTCCTCCGCATATTCTACTGACGAGCACAGGCACGAAATAAGCCACCACTTGGGCGATAGAAGCGGACTAGACCGATTTTTCCCGGAGGGTGACAGCATGGAATATGTAACACAACCATTGCAGGAGAGGGTTCTTGTTCTAGGTGAGTATCTCAGCCGCGTCTAATTGGTGGAGCTGATCCAATGACTAGTATCGGGGTTTACAGAGACTCGCGATAAAATTCGAACGATGGCACAAAGGCGTCTGGAGCTGAATGTGGAGCTTGCAGAGATGGAATTTCAGCCTTTTAAAATGTAGAGATGAGAAAATGACGCAGACGTGCGACGCGAAACTTGGCGAGGCTGCATTTGCAGGGGTAGGGGTATCAGGATGACGTCATTGGAATGACCTTTGCAGTCCTTATCACTCAATAATGCAAGCTCAACTTATAGATCACACCATTAATGGCCATTACTTTGTACCAAGGACAGCATTTTTGCAAAGTAGGGCTAGGGTCATAGGTCATAGGTCATTCATGAGCGAAGGGCAAAACTTAGACGAAGGTTGAGTTGGGAACATCTGCGGCGAAATATAAAAATTTCAGTCCGCAGGTAACACGCCCTATCTTCCAATTAGAGAAGCAAAAAGGCCTCAGACATTTATCCGTAAAGTTTCCGC